TTCTCTCTCTCTCTCTCTCTCTCTCTCTCTCTCTTTTTTTTTTTTTTCTTTTTTTCTTTTTGGTTAAACTTAGTTGGTCCATACGGTAATTTAATTGGTTTTACACCCTTATCAACACTATAGAGCTCCGAATTTTACGCACGTCTACGATAGGACTGGGCAAAATGGTGATGATGAAAATAATAATAACAAAAAGTAGAAGAATTATAATAACAATAATGATGATGGAGATGACAATTTGTATAGCTCCCAATGCCGTACAATACAGCTCTCGGCGCTTTTCAGTGCCTTCAAAAAACAAGTGAATGAAGATGCATATTATAATTTAGGAAGAGAGATTCAGACCTTGCCTGTAAGGGGCAATCTGGGCTGAGAGGGATACAGCATCCTAGCAGAAAGACCAATACACTAGATTAAAAATTTTTCTTCACTCTAGAATCGAACTTTGCTTTACTTCATTCGAAAACGATGCATCTAACCCATACACTACTGACGCCAGTTATATTGTTTAAGACAAAAAATTCAATTTTTTTTTTTTTTTTAATTTATAATTTTTTGACGTTAAAAGTTGACCTAGATGTTTCAGAGAGACCAACATGGTGACCTACTTGTCTGCTCAGGCGATGACGTAGTCTGCTGGTAGCCTGGTGTAGTGTCCCCAGGGGTCGTCCCCTGATCAGACCCTGTTGTGATTATGACTGTGGAGAAGATGTATCTTTTGAAAACGAATCCGTTAGTATGCTTTTACTGAATATGTGAGAGACATTTTAACTCAAAAACAAGTCTCCCTTTTGTCATTTATGAGGTGAATGATGTCATAAAGGAGGAGAAAGATTTCAAGTGGACGCTTTCGCGTTAACAACAATTATATAATTGATTGTAAAGGAAAAGAAGCATCTATTAGTTTTTTTCAAAACGCAGAGTGCAATGGAGAAAACATGAACATGCACAGCAAATTACAAGAAAATTATTAGACCACCACAGCATAGCTACCTCGCCCC